CACAAGGTCTTAGAGCAGTGGTTCTCAACCTGTGGGTCGCGACCCCTTTGGCGGTCGAACGACCCTTTCACAGGGGTCGCCTCAGACCATCCTGCAGATCAGGTATTTACATGACGATTCATCACAGTAGCAACATTACAGTTATGAAGTAGCAATGAAAATAATGTTATGGTTGGGTCACAACATGAGGAGCTGTATTTAAAGGGCCAGAAGGTTGAGAGCCACTGGCCTAGAGGAAGAAGAACATACCAAATTTAGTTTTGAAAGAGTCCAGTGGTGATGAGTTAGGGCACATGGGTCGAGAACAGTCTTTCTTAGCCTTTATTTGGTTATTGCCTCCCTGAGGAGGACCTATTAGTTTCTCCCCAATGAGAGAAATGGTGAGGGATGATGGTGTTGCAGGGCTGAGCTTTGGTGGGTCACAAATCACTGTAGTAACATTAGTTTCCCTCCCTGCCTTCCTGCCCTGAGCCGTTTCTCCGCCCTGGGGGTGATATTGCACCTGCTGAGGACACACAGTCAAGAGCTGAGGGGCAGTTCTGGCCGGAGATGATGGGATTGGGAGTCATTTCTCTTGCTCTCTTCACTCTCTCCTCATGTTTCTTTCTCACTTTCTATTTTATTCTCTTTCCTTTCTCTATTTTATCTTCATTTTCTCCTCATCTCTCCCGAACTGGTCCATCAGTCAACATATGTTTATGGACATACTATTCTGAGATCAGTGCTGCCAGGGCATGGAAGAGGAGCATGATGGGGAGTTTGGTTCCCATCCCTAGGAGAGGAGCATGATGGGAAGTTTGGTTCCCACCAATAGGAGAGGGGCATGATGGGGAGTTTGGTTCCCACCAGTAGGAGAGGGGCATGATGGGGAGTTTGGTTCCCACCAGTAGGAGAGGGGCATGATGGGGAGTTTGGTTCCCACCAGTAGGAGAGGGGCATGATGGGGAGTTTGGTTCCCACCAGTAGGAGAGGGGCATGATGGGGAGTTTGGTTCCCACCAGTAGGAGAGGGGCATGATGGGGAGTTTGGTTCCCACCAGTAGGAGAGGGGCATGATGGGGAGTTTGGTTCCCACCAGTAGGAGAGGGGCATGATGGGGAGTTTGGTTCCCACCAATAGGAGAGGGGCATGATGGGGAGTTTGGTTCCCATCCCTAAGAGAGGGGCATGATGGGAAGTTTGGTTCCCATCCATAGGAGAGAAGCACGATGGGTGGGAGGCTTGAAACCTGCCCAAAGGAGCCACCTCCCCGGGGACACACATTACAGAGCCCCTGTGATAAGCCCCTGGGCATGCAGACCCGGTGTCCAGGGCAGTCCCCAGCAGCCATGTCTTCCTGTCTTGGGCCCACCTCTCTCCAGGGCTCGCTACCTGGCGGCCGTGCCAGCCTTCCGCTGTGCGCCCCTTCTGATCGGCCTGGGGAAGATCCGGTTGGACTCCGTGGTGGTAGATCCCCACAAGAGGACTCTGGTCCTCAGGAAAGTGCAGCAGTGCCTGGTAAGGAGCCTTTCTGGTGCCACTGTCACTGACGCCCCTCTCCCCCGGGGCCCTGGGGAGCCCTGGGATCTGGCTGGGGTCTCAGCCCGAGGTGGGCCTGAAGCTGGCTGGGAAGCCGCTGGGTCGGGCGGCCTTGTCCCTGGTGCCGGAGGCTGCTGTTCTGGGCCCGAAGGAAGGCAGGCCGCTCTGGGGCCCGGGAAGCGCCCAGCACAGTGCCCGGGCTCTAGGCGCCTCTGCGGGTGGCTGTCTCCGGGCTGTGGGAGGGCCACCCCCGCCACC